TTATTATCTCAATACCTAATCAACTACTGTATAAGTACAGTGAACTCTTGATATAACGAATTCTAGGATCTGGATATCAACTTCGTTATAAGCTTATAACGAATTTTTTAAAGAATTTAATTGGCTAGTTCACTATAGTAAAGGTAATTTTAATATATTTGATTTAAAAATTCACTATATCAAGGGTTCGCTATATCAAGGTTTGACTGTACTGATGCAAGTGAGACTTCTTCAAATCTTTTTTCAATGTGAGCTAATACCTTTTCTGATAAATCTTTGGGTGGATTTATTAAGATCTTTTAGCGTGAACTACCATATATATTAATAACCATCCAATATAAATAAATTCACCTTCCTTACCATTATGCCTATATTGTTGTAAAAATTGATAGTTATCTATTATAACATTTGTAATTCCCTTCTGTTCTGCTATTATTTTATGAAATACCTGTCTATCATCTTCTATGATCAGGAAACAAATTTTATTAGGTTTGAAGCCTATGTATTAGAAAACCTAGTCACGCAATTTAGCTATTATACTAATAAAGCTTATCTTTAAAATATATAGATTTTTCAGTTAATCATTAACTAGTTAACGGTTTTGCCAAATTATTATATGTGAAAAATACTAATAATTATCACAAATCATCTTCAGGAATATCTGAGATCGGGATGTGTGATCGTCTTAGGCCAGAAGTTTGAAGATAAAAATTGAAGTTAACCGGTATTATTACACGAAAAAAAATATAAATAATATTATATGAAACACCTTATGACTAAGTTTTCTAATGGAGATGTGGCAATTTCAGTTAAGAATACTTAACTATATAGTTAGGTAGTTTCAAGCGAATTCTCAAAATACCTAAAAAGTTTATAGAAGGCTTTTGATATATTTTATAAGCCAGTTTTTTGCCTTTTTCTGAAAATATTCATTAATCTCTTTTTTCCTTTTATCTGAATCCTTGACCCACATCAAAAAGACAATTGTTACCTATTATTTCATTGATAAAGCGTACGCATATTGCTATTGTTTCATATTTTTATATGACGCCTCCTATTGATGATTTTTCTTACATGCCCATAAATATGTATTAGGACTAACTTTAGCTAAGCATCTTCCTTTATGCTTTTGGGCATATGTCAAAGCTTTAGTGTCAATTTTTGTCTTACATTTTATAGGTGCAATAGAATATCACACAGAAATTTGCAGTAATGATCGCTAGCTCTAGACTAGTTTAGTCAGAATAATTGATCTGGATATATGCAAATCCAAATACAAGTTCGAAAGTAAAATTAAACTTGGCTACTACTATTGTATAAGTAAAAAATAAATATCACCAGTATTCTTAGCAGGAAGTAGCAATTTTGGCTAAGAGTACAGCTCAATAATCTTGTTTATATATTTGCTCTTTTTATGTATTATTGATATCATCAAGTAGATCAATATCTTTTAATAATTTTTTCGTTTGTTTATAAAGATTTTGGTATTATACATAAAATTTATTTCGTAAAACAGAAGACTTAATAAGACAGGAAAGAATACTTGTAAGATTATTTATATGGGATTTGATTATTGCATAAACATTTGCAATTTCTTCTCCTGTTGTAATCTAATCATAATACAGAGTATAAAGAACTGTATGAATACAGGTTATTTCTTATTCATTACAGTCTAACTGATATTTGATAAAATTAAGATCTTTACGAAGTTCACTTTTTTTTTACTTTAAAATAACTCAAAATGCTTCAAAATTCTATTGATGATTTATAGTAAGACAGGAATATAGTATATCTTCAATCTTGAGATTACTAAAAATTAATTTAAGTAGTTCAGAACAAACAAGTAGAATCAGCCTGGAATTTTTTTGTGCAAACATAGTTGTATATACAAGAAAACAGTATAAAATAACAGAGAAATTTGCAAAGTTCAAAATAAAAAATGTAATATGTATGGCTTAAAAACGAAATAAAAAAGTATAAACCATCTGGTCTCTAATCAGATGACTGACATAAATATGCAATAAATATATAAAATAATTCAAAGAAATTGATGCAAAGATATCCTAAAGTAATAACTATATAGGAATAGGTCTAGAAGTTAAAAATATGTGAAATTTTAGTGACTCAGATACGCAGAATTATATATATAAAAAAAGAATAAGTTTAGCATATCTGGATCACCATGTAATAAGTAAAAAAGAGATCAGGAAGGCAGAAAAGTTCAGGAGAATACACAAAAAAAGGTATGAAATCAATATAGCCTGAACTAATTTGACACTTTGAACTTCATCCTCAGCAATTCAAAGGGTCACAAAAGGCAGGATTGTATATTTGGATCACCAACTCAGCATTTTGTGCCTTATTCTTAGTAATCATAAAAGTCATACAAGGCAGAATTGCAAGAATGAGCACAAATTCAGCACTTCGTGTCTCATCCTTCAGCAATCAAATAGGCCATAAAAAGCAGGTCAGTAATAGTACCCAAAAGTAATCAATGTAATAATAACCCAAAGTAATCATACATAGGGATACCCAAAAATAGCAATAATACGAAAAAGAATTTAAGGAAGGCTTGGCAAAAACTAGGGTATAAATTTGGTAGTATCTATGAGTAGAATAATATATAGGAAATAAATAGAAAATTATGTTATAGATACTACCGGCAATAGACAAGAAAGAGATCAGAAAGGCAAAAAAATTTAGGAGAATACACGAAAAAAAGGTATGAAAGCTGTAAAGTCTGAACCAATTTGGCATTTTGTGTCTCATCCTCGGCAATCAAACAAGCTATAAAAGGTGGGATTACAAGAATGGCATAACACTGAAACTTTGCATGTGTCATACCTAGCAATCAAGAGATGGCAAATAGATTGCAAAATATTTGGCAAATAGATGGATTACAAACTCAGCACTTTACATGTGTCTCATCCTGTCAACTAAATGGGCTGGCTATATCGCACTTCTGATTCTCTAACCAACTAACTACCAAACCAGGCTCTCAAAAGTTACTCAAAAGTTATTTAAAAGTTACTTGAAAGTGTTAGTGAAGTGCCTAGAACTGGTGAGAAATTGAAACACGTGATTAATGCAGTAAGACGCAGAAAATTTCACTTAACTTCAGCCAATATTATTCTATATTTTTTCTAAATATTTGGGATGCAATAATTTAGCATCCAGATATCTGATTCATGCAGTCTTAGCATTATTGGAAAACTCTCAATAACTTCATTCAAACGAGCTCAAAATCGTACGAATCCAATTACAGAAAGCTAAGATATTCTGCCCTAAAGATTAAGTCAAAAATATAGTATAGTATCAGCCAAAATCTGATCCACAAATTTACTGTATCATCCGATCATAGCATGATTTTTTGCAATCAATATCAGCCTAGCATCTTGACCACAAAAAGGCTATAGGGTAATGAAAATAAGCAGATAGTTAAAAGGTAATAAAAAGAGGATAGAGTAATAAATCAAGCAAATATCTACAAAGCAATAAAAAGACTATAGAATAATAAAACAAGTGGATATCAATAAAGCAATAAAACAATCACAGAGCATGAAAACAAGTAACTAGATAACAATTTATTTATAATTAGATAATAATTTACTCATAGCTAGATAACATTATAATGCAACTGGGACAGATCATATTTTTGCATTTGGTGGTAATTATAAAATTGCATTTTTATAATATACAGGTACCATATGTATCTTATACATTATTACATGCCTTAGAAATTAAGTATGTTAGGCCTAAAAGAGCTTACAACATCCTGCAAATATATCTCGAAAACCTCAGAAGCATAATACCTTCGGTCTTATTCTTGGTGACAAATAGATAGATGAAAGTAGAATTAAACTTAGTCAGTGATATTATATAAGCCATCTAATATGATTTGTCATCCTGCCAGTTTCATAACAGTTCCATGATACTGCTATGATGCTATCATAATGCCAAGCTAGATTCTTGAATTATATGCTTTAAAGATCAGCTAGAATTATAGAATAATGTCAGTTGAAATTAATCGCAAATCTACTGTACTACCTGACATGATATTTTTTTTGTATTTGATAGGCAAGAAAACAGATGCAAAGGATAAGCACCTTAATATAAAATCTTACACTCAATCAGGTGTAGAAGGTCAGCATCTTCAACATAAAACCAGATATCCAAACAGTTATAAAAGATCAACAATTCCGTTATAGAATTTAGTATGTAAATGATTCAGAAACAAGAAAAATATGATGGTAGTTAGGTTAAATGGTGGGTGGTAGTTAGACTATACAGTAATATAATTGATAAATAACAGGAAAGGTTTAAAAGAACATCTAAAGTATAAAATAGATACCAAATACATGAAAAAATATATATTATATGGTGGTATCTAGATTATATTATTTAGATTATATGGTGGTATTTAGATTATATTATTTAGATTATATGATGGTAATTAGATTATATAGTGGTATTTAGATTATATGATGATACTATAATCTAGGATAAGTGGGATACCACCATATAATATAATTATATTGTATGATGGTATTTCACTTAGGATACCAGACATGATAATATAGAAATAGTTTAGTTTAAGGTAGTCAAAAGAATTTTTGGCCATTTTGGCTGACCAATGGCCAAAAATTTTATAATCTAATCAGAAATTTTGCCGGCCAAAAAATGGCCAAAAAAATTTTTGGCCAACAATCTCAACCCAAATGATAATAATATATAAAAAGAATCGTATATATTATTCATATTATTATTATATTTAGTAATTATCAGTTAAAAATAAATTAAGAATTAATATTTAAAAGAATAAATTATGCGATTCGTAGATCCTATCGTACTTTTTTTGTTAAAAAATAATCTGATTAGTTCACTCTATGGAGCTTAAAAAATAAAATCAATCGGAATTTCCTTTTACATAAAATGTTCTGAATATCAAAAGGTTTTATTATATATAGATCTCGAAATTTAAAAATGATAATATTATAACAATGTCTTCAAAAGCTATCTTGGAAATTTCAATTTCTGTTTTTGCCCTCGGTGGCTCTTATTATTTTTTACCTGATATTTTCCCTGCAATTGTCGCTCTTGTAGCTGGTTCTTGGATCAAATATCTTTATTTTGATAATAAAAAACAAGGTATCTTTAACCTGTATTAATATTAAAAAATTTTAAAAATTATTAACTTGGTTTTCTTTCAGTTCTTGACCCCGAGAAATGGCAAGAATTCCCTCTTACAGAAAAAATCAAAATTAGCCATGATGTAGCATTGTAAGTTTTTTTTTTATTTTTTAAAAAAAAAATTTTATCAAGAATTTTTATTAACCAAGTTCTTTAAAGATACCGAATAGGACTCCCTAAACCTGATGATGTTCTTGGACTTCCGATTGGTCAGGTAATTTAAGTTGTTTCAACTTTGATTAATATTATAACAACGAAATTAATTTATTGTTAAAATTATTAGCATATTTCAGTTCAAGCTGAAATCAATGGTAAACTTATTTCAAGAAGTTATACACCAACTAGTTCTGATGATGATTTAGGACATTTTGATTTAGTAATAAAGGTATTTATTTTTATTTTTTTTTTAAAAAAGTGGTCATTTTGAAATAAATATTTATATAATCAAAAAATGATGTTCTCTCGATTTAGTCATATCCTAGTGGAAATATATCTAGATATTTTGGAGAAAATCTCGAAATTGGGCAAAAAATCTCTGTTAAAGGACCCAAGGGACAATTTATATATTCCCCCGGTTTAGTTAGAGCTTTTGGAATGATTGCGGGTAAAATTATTATTATTAGCATAATAAATTTGCATTTATGATTTCATCAATTCATTTATTTTTTTTTTGTCTTCTTCAGGTGGTACTGGTATTACACCAATGTTACAGGTATATATCAAGATGACTTTTTTTACCAAAAGTAAGATATAGCAAAGCTAATTCATTTTAAATTCTTTCAGATTATTCGAGCTATAACTAAAAATCCTGAAGACAAAACGATAGTTAGTTTAATTTTTGCAAATCAAACAGAGAAAGATATTCTATTAAAGGATGAATTGGATGATCTTGCAGCCAAACACGATAATTTCACAGTATTTTATACTTTGGATAGAGTAAATATGAAATTTATCTTTTTCTTTGTACAAATAATACAAATAATTATTTTAAAAAATATTTAATCCCTCATTATTTTTAATAGCCGCAGCCAGATTGGGCTGGAGGATCCGGATTTGTTACCCCTGAAGTCATTAAAAAGCATTGCCCACCTCCAGCTGATGATATAAAAATTTTATTATGTGGACCAACTCCCATGGTATCAGCTATGGCAAAACATTGCGAATCATTAGGTTACAAAAAAGCTAGAACTATCTCTAAATTAGAGGTAAATAATTTTATTTGTCGTGTATACATATATTAATCTTGATGATTATATTTAATTTGATGCTTTTTCCCTTTTTACAGGACCAAGTCTTTAAATTCTAAGTAAATAATATATATTATATATTTTTATATATTTTTTCCTTATAATTAAACCGAAAGATCAATGGTATAATTTAATAATTAAACTCTTGCTAATTTATGAGTATATAATTGAATTTGCAATGTATAGAGGTATTAAAAGAAAACATTACAAATAAAGAAAATGCCAAGATTGTATGTATGAATTATACAATAGGACCGGCAGGAGCCATTTGAGCATAAACCATTTCGCTAGATTCTTCAATAATTTCTTGACCATCAACAATTTTCGTCGTTTTAGTTCTACGTTCGCTACGTCCGATACCTGAACCATATTTTTCTCTAGGTCCAAGCGGTATAGCATTTCTTCTACCAGAAATCAAGGGGGGCATGTTCCTAACACCAAACCATCCCATTCTAAAAGCAAGTTCATTTGCACAAATTTCACCAAATCCTAACATGACCCCATTTATAAAAGGAAATACAAAATTCATTGTAAACGTTTGTAAAAATGAGATAAATTTCGGATGTCGATAGAATGGTACTACGGATTGTGAATCACCCGTATGATTAATATTATTTATATTATCATCTCCTGTTTGAGAATTTCTTCTTGAATCTTTAGGTCTAAATATGTGATGATCATGATGAGGCGATGCTGGTGGATTACCGATTGAAGTATTTAAAAATACGTGTGCAACTGTATCATCTGGTTGTGTTGTTGAAGCAAGAAGTTGTGAAGTATTATCCGTCATAGAGAATCCTCTTTTTTTTTTTTTACATAAATGTGTGAAAAAACAAACATTTTTACTTACTAACTTGTATCAAATAAAAATGAATTTCCAATAAACAGAAAAATATAATTCTTTACCTTTAATTAAACAAGAAAAAAAAGAGAACTGTTAAAATACTCTGATAAATTTTTGCTAAAAAAAAGGGCCCTTTATAAACAAAAAAATTCATATGACTTTATCAGCATATATGTTCGCAGTTGAAATCACGTTACATATCATATGACTTACTAATCGAAATCGGTAAAAATGAAATGGATTTTTTGATCCATAATGTGAAACTATTGTTGATCAATTATCTAATGATTATATAAACCATGTTGATTAAAAAATACGTCATTTGATATCAAAATCTAGATGTAACATTAATTAACTAAATACGAGAAATTTCATTTTCAAAAAATTTATTATTATTTGGTTATTATTGTTCTTTGATTATTATAAAAATTAAAATAAAAAATAAAAATAATTAATATATTTATTTACACAAAAATTAAAAAATTAACTAATTAAAATGTAAAAAAAAGAAAATTAAATAAGCGATAACATGATTATAAATTTACCAATATTGTCCAGCATATTGAATAGAATATTTTGTATCATATTGTAAATAATTTACTACGTTATTTAAAAATTCCTTTTCAGTTTCTAAACAATGTATACGATGTTTTAAATCTGGTATACTATAATGAACATATTGAAAGAGATCCGGTGGAAGATAACTTTGTGGGAGCACAGGTGTTGGCGTAATATACTCTTCGGAAGGAAGATTAAATAAAATATTATACGGAGGGGCAATGGGAGATAAATTTTGTTCAATGTATATGGTTTGTGCCGCATTTATTGAAGAATCGGCTTCGATGAGATTCTGTTGATCCTTTATAGGAAATATTTGTTGCGCGTCCTTTAAATTACTATTAACTTGAACAGGCGATGAATTCAAAGAACTCAAAGGAGACGTGACAAGATCCAGATCTTTCACGTTCGCTGAATTGAAAGGTTGCTGTTGCTGTTTTTGTTGTTGTAATTCTATATTTTCAGATAGAGGTGGTGAAGGTGGTTGTTGTTGCTGTTGTTGTTGTTGTTCTTTCTGTTCTTTTTGTTCTTTTTCGGCTAACAAAAGTTCTTTACGTTTTTCATAAAGTAATTTAGCGTCATTTGCTAATTGAGTATAAGTTTTTTTAACACTACATGGTTCTTTTTTCCATAATTTACTGGCAAAATAAGAAACGTCTTGCATGGTCAAACAAATTCTTTTATTCTTTAATTGTTTACAAAATTCCATACGATAAGCAATAAATGCATTAGGAAATTTTACACTGGGTTCTTTCTTTCGTTTATTATTGAACTTTCCTGAAAGTTTCCTTGAAGAATTAGAAAATTTTGGAATCAGTGATTCAGGAGTTAGAATGGGAGGATATAACGGACGAAGTTCATTCATGAATTCTTGAATTTCATCATCGTTGTTACTGCCATTTTCTATAATGTTATTATTACTACATTTATCAGAGGATTTTAAGTCTTCAACAATGACAACTTTTTCTTGTTGTTGCATTATTTTATCAAGGGATTAAATATCTAGGGGGAATATCTAGGGATTAAGTTTTTTTTTTTTTTTTTTTTTTTTTTTGGTTAGATAAGAGAAAAAAATATCGGATGGTGCTTTTTTCCTTAGTGCAAAATTAAGAGGAGGGAATTCAAACGTTATTTATTAAGATTTCAGAATAATATCTAAACTACCATCTTTTTTGATATATATATATATATAAAAATAAATAATACCAAGGATTTGCACCTGCATCCATAATTGTTAACCTATTTCCGATGATCATCGAACGGTTTGACATTTGATTCGACCGTCAAAATTTCCCGAACCTGTTATGTATGAGTCCCTCAAGATATATCTTTTAAATTATAACTAATCTAATTTTATTAATGAGTTAAATTGCCCACCATCAAAGTAATTTACTAATTACGTAAAGATCTAAAGTAGTTACCAAATCCTTGGGTTCTTTTTTTTCTTGTTTGATATGCCATCCATCTATCTATTTGATTATAAATGACGCCAATCATTTCGGTTGACACAAATATCGACAAAAACCTTGCGATAAATTATTAATTATCTACTTTCAAATACTTTTACGGAAAGCAAATCCGCAAATCAGAAGAAACCAATAGATTTTGTTTATTATCAAACAATATCGACGATGATAGATGTTGTTCATTCTTAAATTGATTTAATAAAGTTTTCTAAAGATCTGGACAAATAAGTTGATGATAAAAAAAATAAACTTTTTGTTTTAAGACATCGACTAACCTTATATGAAATTCTTTTATAATATTCATCCTAATGCATGTACGGTTGGCCTCAAATCTCTTTTAATTTATTTATTTAAAACTTTTTCTTTCTTGGCTTAAGTAAAGGAAGGGATCACCTTTCTTAATTAAGAAATTAATATTCTGTTTGGAAATTATCGAAACTTCCAATATCGAACGTATTATGGAACTTACCAATTACATCTAAAACATTTTAAATCGAATCGTTAAATCATTTTCTTGTCACTTCGTCTAACTCGGTTTAGAAATATTTTTTATAGAATTTTGTCACAAGGTTCCACCCCTTTTTAACGGGAATAAAATTTTCATTGATGTAAACATTACTTGTCATGCGGAATTGCGTGTTTCCAAAAATCCCAAAGAATTTTGATTGATGATATGATGATATACAGGGTTGTCCGGCCTACGGCTAACGGTACATCCATTGGACCGACTTGTTTTCTCCATTGACATCAATTGGTCGTTCGATTTTTCATTCTTGAGTATGAGTTTGAATCTTGGCAATTCATAAAGATCTGCATTCAAATATGCTCATAATTCGTTTTGGAATTAATATTCATAAATCATTTCAGTCTTTGGACTCGTGCCAGACTGAAACATTCACTTGCATTTGTACATTAACATATGGTCACTGAAATTATCATTAATAACATTACAAAGTTTCTTTTTTAAAAATATTCGATCTGTTTATGCGAAGTACTGTACGTACACAACCATTGACATCTATTGGTTGACAAGACTTTGTGAGCTTGGACTTTGTTATGTATAAATTATATAATAAAGATCTCAAGAAAAAAATGCCCGATAAAGACAAGATTTCCCGGAAAAAATAATAACACTAATCTTTATACGATGATTACCATGTATATATAATGATTTATTATTACTTTTGAAGAAAAAAAAAGAAAAAGAAAAAAATAATAAATAAATAAATTTCACCAGAAATGATATTATGATTATTTAAAGTTCATAGTAATTAAATACGGTAGAACTATCAAGCCTAGGGTTTTCGGGATAATATCCGTTTTGTAATAATTTATCGGACCTTAATAAAATTAATTTAAAATTTTAAAATTTTTCCATATTTCGATTATATCAAAACATTACTGAACTAAATGATTATTAAATTTTTTCATATTCAATATATCCGAAAAGTCCCGAAGTCCGATCGGCACCGCAGCAATGTTAATCCCATAATTTTAACGATTTGGCGAATTCGTTATAAAATGTAAATCCGAACCTACCTTGATCATTATCCTCTCTTGCCTATTGGCTAAGATCAAGTGTAGTATCTGTTCTTTTCAGTCTAATATCTGAAACGTTGCACACTGTGCAACTTCGATATTAAACGAATTTTTGCATTTGGGGGAGAGTCCCTGGCTTGCCAAACTCTTTCCAAGAGTGTCCCTAGTATTGTACTACATCTAGGTGATGCTCACATTTAGAATTTCTAGCGGGTTTGGGTGTGTTTCAGTGGGAAGAGGAAAAAAAAAAGATGATCACATGACGACGTCATTTTCCCATTTGCTGCTAATTTAAATTAAATGCATTAAATGAATTGTTATTAAATAGCGAAATCACCCATTGAATGTTTGTATTTAAATGTAAAATAAAATGTTGATTTTTTATTTTTTTTATTATGACAAAAGTTCCTTTCAAATTTAGGTAAAGTAAAATTTTCCTTTTCTCCTTTGCTTCTTTTTATCTTGAACTCATCTTTTAGATGTATATTTGAATATTTATGAAAGACAGAGAATTCAATTACGATCTTTTTTCTTTACTTGCTATACTTGGTGCATATTGAAAGTCAAGCATTGTCGGAGAAATGCGTAGTTGGCCATAAAGTCGTACAGCAATATTTTTTTCAATAGAAATCAAGATAAATTCGTACCACATAAAGTAATCATTCGAGGGAATAAAAATTTATATAAAGATAGACATTTACATCGAATAATTAATATTCACTGCCGAGAAATTTTATATAACGAACACTTTACCAAAAGAAGAAAAAAAAATGAGTTTCTTCGAGCAAAATGATAATCCTCCGTGCCAGTAAAGTATTATTTATTACAATTCGTCACAATTTTTGAATTAAAATTAATTAAAGACCGTCTGTCGTTTTGTTAGGTGGATGTATAATTTGGAAGAAAATTGTAAAGAAAAAAAATTATTAATGAAGATAATGCTGACTTCTGCCATATCTTACTGCATAATATCATTAAATGGTATCATCGTTCTTTTATGGAAGGCTTATTTAAGGTACAAGAAGTCTGAGAAACTAAGATGGTCGTCATTGGAATACGTCTGGGCATGGGCATTTGTATTTTGCATACGTAAGTGCATTCAAAATAAACAGTTTATTTTTTATCGATCTCAACTGATTTTGCATTTAATTTACCATTTAGTGAGAAGTTTTAATAATTTTACGGTGGTATATGATTTGTTTCCTAATAGAAAAATATTTAGATTAGCGTTATTTGCAATATCTTGGATACCAGGATACTTAGGGATGTATGTTTATATCGCGGGAATATTTCGTACAATACCTCGATTAAGTTTTAACAGATTAACATATGAATCGCAAAGTGGTAATTCGTTATGGTTACCGAATTCTAAACAAGTTAAACCGATAATGTGGATGATCTCTCTATTTACAACTGTCGGGATAATTTCAAGTTCTCTTTTATCAGGGTATTATTTTGGAGAAGGAAAAAGTGATGAGATGATTATTGCATTTTCTGTGCAAATGGCACTGCTCTGGATTGGTTCCGTTATTTGTTGGTTTTCATTATTCTATTATGGTAGAGCTTTAGTTTCGCTCGTAAAAGAAAGCATTCAATTGACCGGTGTGGATGATGAATCAAATAATAAGAGAATGAATGATATATTAAAGAATGAAAAAAGAAAGTATAATGTTCACATTCGTAAGGTATTTTTAATGATTCCAATGCGCAGTAAAAAAAATCAAATCAATTACAATTTATTAGATTTTTTTTTTTAACAATCTCTTTTCCTTTCGTTCGTAGATGCAAGTGTTCAATTACGCCTTTGGTGGAACTTTCTTCTTATTTTCAATGTTTTTGATTCCTATAACAATTTGGTATAAAGTTACCATGCTAGAATTATTTATCGTAAATTTATTATATTGTTTAACATGTAACATATTTTCTGTATCTATGGTTACAATAGTAGGGATCGTTCTTATGTATTCGTAAGTACATATCAAGAATTCAATCGGTTATTAATTGATTAATTATAAACTTAATTTTTTTTTTTTAAAAAAAAAAAAGGGAAATTCTAACAAATACTTTGGAAAGGAAAGCGGAATGGACGGACCAAAATAGTACATGGATGCAATTAGAAAATAATACCTTTGATAGAAGTGCTTATAGTAATCAGAGTTATTCCATTTATGCGGAAGAGATTTATCAGGGTCAATAACAAGGACCATTTCATATTCAAGTCTAAGATTCTAAGATTTTATCCAAGAGGTAATGCTCAAGGGTTAAGAAAAGTAAATCGCGATTTCACGAAATTATATTAAAAACCGAAAGTGTGCATTAAAATCTATCACATTTTATCATCAACTAGTTCTAGAATTTTGCGATCAATTTAGCTCGATTCGCATGGGCCTCGTTATGGATTAATTTCCGATGGCACAAAATGAATGCGCTCCGCCAATCAATGTGCCCGTGATCATGATAGTTATCGAATTAAACTATAATTAGAACTTCCGAATTTTGTAGTAATTGAAAAAAAATACTTCTAATAAGAAACTTCAAATAAAACCTTTGACCAATAGAATTCAGAATTGATATTTGTATTCTCTTAAATAAAATAAAGAAAGATGTAAAATGGTACAATATGATGATTAAATTACGTAAATCCTTACATCATCCAATAATCAAATGTATAATTTATTTGAAACATTTTAATAATAATCCTTCCTTTCTTAAATGTACATAAAACATTTTATAATTCCTGAATTCTCATTATCAACCGGTTCAAACCTTGTTTGATCGTCTAGTTTATATCTTTTAATAAATAATAAATAATGTAATTTAAAATTCGGAGCAAAATCCGAAATAAAGATGTAGATAAACTTGTTTAATTCATACATTCATTCCTAAAACGTCCCTTTATTTCCCAAAACAAGCGATAATTCGGTTTCGTATGCTCGTATTATTTAAGTGCAAAATTTAAGAACCAAAAATTCATTGAATGATTAAAATAAATAAACAATGATAATGTCAAACGATATATTTTTATGATTGTTTAAAAAAAGTGACGATGAAACGGTTGTCTGGAAAATAGTGTGACACAGATTTTATAAGACCATACCAAACAACAAAAAATAATTCATTCTGGTCGATCGACCTTGTATTTTAATTTGGGTTTTATCCCCATTTGTTTGCTCTTTGTTCTTTTTTTTGTACTTGAATGTTTTATTTCTTTTGTAGATCTATGTACATGTGTTATGCAAACTTCTTTGATCAAGCATAACCATTATTTTTAGCAAAATTGACGAGAATTTTTAGGCTGAAACTTAATAAGGTTTTTATATCTTAATGTGAACACAATAAAAAAAATCCCATACCCACGTTTATATAAATTATATTGTTTTCTCTATTTTTAAAGAAGAAAAGAAAGATTAACTGCGTGAAATGAAAAAAAAAATTTTTTTTGTAAATGAATTTACCGATTATCCAATGAAAATCAAGATTAAATGGTGTACAAAATTTGCGCAAGGTAGATCAACTTCAACCAAAAACGTTCATTATCATTACCATAGCGAACTTATTTTTCCTTCCCCTGAATAACACTTTTGTATACATTATTAAGTTTGGCGCGGAATCGTGCCCCATTTGGTAGTTTAGAAGGCAAGAATCGAACAAAAGGAGCCGAACTTTTATTTTATTTTATTTTATTGTTTATATTAACGCGCCGATTTTATGCATTACATTTTTTTTCAAAACGACTTTTTGTTTTTCTTTGTGCCAATTCCATCATAATTAGATAGGCTTTACTTCATTTGTGTAATAAGTTTTTTTTTTTAGTTTGAATGAATAGAATTCGGAAATATAACAAAGACAATTCATTTTATAATAAGCAAATTGATGAATAAAGAAAACAATGAATGCTAGATAACTAAAAATTATACAAAAGGTGAATCATTCGTCACTAAAATTAGGGGTATGTACACTTTAATATTGTTCTCGTTTCTTGGAAATTAATTATTCTGGAAACTCGGTATTTATCCAGATTTCTTTCATCCATCTAATGCGAAGGAATTCTAATAAGGGTTTACAAGAATATTTTTTTCTTTGCTAAAATGTCTTTGTTGGATACCAGGATTGGCACCGCAATACTGAGAAAAGAGAAAAAGGAGTCAATTGGTGCAAGGCTCAACAAGAAACGAACAAGTTACCGCGTGAAATTAATAACAACACTGCATGTTGCCCGATAAATATTTCTCGTAGATGTGTTTGTTTTAAAATGTTATTCATTCAAAAATGGGATTATGCAAGTCGGCCGTCTTTGGTGGAATAAATTCATAATACGTTTTACGCGTATGAGACAAATGTTAGCTGAATATGGGACACAAACAATCATAAATGCCAAGGGGTGGAAAAAATCAAAAGGTTCCTTATTTGAATTTTCCTTTATATATATATATATATATATATATATTGCAGTACAAAATAAAAACGGACATACCCAAATGCATTATTATGGAATCTTTATTTTAAAAACCAATGACAAACCTCTTACCTGATCACAAAAGATTCTAGTATAGACGAGACGATTATGTAACGGATGAAACCCGATTGAGCCTACGGAATAATACATGAATCCATCCCCAAGTAATGAGTCATATAATTATAAAATCGCATGATACAACCATAATAAAACTTTAATCCCGATATGGCTTGTTTCGAAAGGGTTCGGATGTTTTAATAAATTACGAGCCATGTAATTATCAAATAATTTATAAACTTATTTTTATTTTTATCTTTCAAAGTCCTTTGATACCATATTATATATTATGTAATATAAATTACTTAATTTATATTTGCAGGAAAAAGGAATAATTATAAATGAGCTCATATTTTTTTTTTGATTTTTTTTATAAAAATTCAGTGGAAATTCGCTTATTCCGCTTAATCCATTTGCGATTAACTTGCAAGTAAAAAAAAAAAAAAAAAAAATTTTTTTAAGAATATTGAGATAATTCAAAAACATTTAAAAACATTTTTAATTTATATACTGTAATAAAAAAAACAAATAAAACTCTAAGCAATTTAAGATAATCTATAACTTAAGAACAAAGCTTTTAATGGCTAAATCAAATCGAAAACAAGTTAATACGAAAAGGAAACCGACATCTAAGCGTAATCGTAATATTCCAAATATCGAAATTAATTTACCATTCCCACCAAAAGTTGAGCTCGAAGACCTATTCCCCAAATCAAAAGCAGTGAGCTTACGAACTTTGAACGCGTTTTTCATTTACCGCAAAGTGATTACTGCTGAAATAAAGAAAAATCATGTTTTATGTTGGAGTATAATATCAAACATAGCATCCAGCAGATGGAGGATCGAAGATCCCGGAGTGAAACAACATTACAGAGAACTTGCAGAACATGTTAAAGTTTTATATCGATCTAAACATCCATTATACGTTCATCATGGAAAAAAGGCTGCTGAATCTGTGATAATGCTTCAAGATAACGATGAGAAAACTGTACCAAAGCAATTTATCTTTGTAAACGAATTCGATTCCAATAATAACGGTGCAGATCAGCAAGACGCGTCTGATCAAGTCCAAGTTGCAGAATCGTTAATTGATCAGAACCGTTATGATTATGAACAAAATATTTCTTCCTATACCGTCGTTAATCCTCCAAATACATCAGCATTTGATTTGGTTGATTTTTTGTATGGAGAAACGTGCAATTATTCCATGACCACACTTTTGCATGATGAAGAATTAATTTATTCCATGTTGAATGGATGTCAGTTTCTGCAAGATAGAGAAGGACATTATACTTGATTTCACTAGTTATCGATTATCGAGGTTCCATAAGTTATGTAATAGTTTATTTTTTAAAAAAAAGTTCACTTGAAAGGTCATGTATTTCCATAGTAAATAGTCATATTTCATATTTTATATTTGGGATTTTGATAATTAGAATCTTCAAATTTATCTTTTTTATTCGACAATTAATTAAGATTTTTGATACAATTATTTATGGTTTATTTTATGTATATGCACGTTTTATTAATAAATAATTTTCCGACCTTATGTAATTAATTTTGTTTGTTTGTCTAAAATTTATCGATTCTCTTAATAAGTATAAAGTAAATAAATGTACAGTACATCCGAGTACCTGAAACCGAATGCAATTAAAAAGACATTTAAAAAATAATTACTTCGAAAATTTAATAGCAAATCGATCATAGCGGATTTACAGTATATTAACAAATAAAATGTTTGGTCCGATTTACGGAGATTTCCATTTAAAGTTCGATAATCGCCAAGATACAAGTTTCGAATTTTCAAATTTATGTGATTTAATTAATAAAAGTTTCGACAAAATTATAGAAACCCTTTGATTTTAATTTTGCATATTTTATTTAAGTATACCAATGGCACCAATGTTGGGTTCTAGCATTGATTATAGAAGGTTATTACAATTTAGAATATCTTGATGAATTTACTACCGTCATATGATGATCTTTCTGCAGTTGTTATTGCATTTTTAGCAAAATATAAAGTCATAATAAATCACAAAATGTTTCATATCTTATTGGATACATCACAATGAAATGCATCAAAAAATTTCAGCCTTACATCAGACTTTATGAAACCAGCTGTCTTTCGTAGTCTTTTGATCTTATGAATAACCGGCATTCTTTTTTATTATACCACGTTCTTATTAATTAACAAAGCCTAATTTAATTAAACTTAATAATCAAGCTATATTTCGTTTCATTTTTTTTTTGTTTAACAATTATATTTGAAATAATTATAAAACTGATTCTCCTTTAATAATAGTTGAAGAAAATGATATAGCCTTAATTAATATTAATGTTAATATCAAAGATGATTGTATAAATTTGTATAGAATGAAATATGATGAAAAAAATGAAAATTAAAAATGAAAAAGTTATAAATTATATCATTTGCAATATTTATTTATTTTTCAGAAAAAATTACTCTAAAATGTTATTAAAAGCAAGTTATTACTATAAACTTATTAATAACTGATATTATTTTAAGAATAAAAGAAAAAGTCATAAATTTTAATTATTATTGATCAATTTCTATTATTGAAATCAATGCTAATAAAATTTATATTAGTAGTTCAATTTAGATTTACATTATCATCACTATTTATTTAAAAAAACTATTATTATTAAATTTTAAAATATTTTAA